GGACCAAAACTTATAAAAGTGTAAAAACTCATGACCTGTCGTCCATCTTGGGTGTAGCCATGGCCAGGCTATTGTACTGCCCAAGGTGTATCCTCTGAAAGCCTTTTTAATAAATACCTACTTTATTCCTTTAACTTGTCTAGCCTCTGTTATAGGTAGCCTCTCAAGACATCATATAAAACAAAGTAGATGATTTGTGCCAACATCACTGATCACTGGAAACATCCTCTAAATCACAGAGATCCAGTGGTCAGAAGGAGTAGCCAGTTATATCTTCCGTGATGTATAGGCATATCCTTATCTGTAGGAGAGTGGTGGGTCAGTTCTTTTTATTTTATTTTTTGTTTTGATTTTTATTTTGGTTTTTGATTTTTATTTGGTTTGATTGTTATTTTGTTTATTGGTTTGGGAGTTCTGGGGGTTTTTTTTGTTTTTTTTTTTTTTAGTTGGTTTTGGGTTTTTTTAGCGGGGAAGATGACAGTGTTACAATACGTTTGTAAGGATCAGTTGCAAATTTGTAGGATCATAGAAAGGTTTGGGTTGGAAGAGACTTTAAAGATCATGTAGTTCCAGCTACATGGGCAGGGAACCTTCCACTAGACCAGGTTGCTCAGAGCCCCATCCAACTTGGCCTTGAACACTTCCAGGAACAGGGAACCCACAACACCTCTGTGTGATGTTCCATTGTCTCACCACCTTCACAGTAAGGAATTTCTTCCTAATGCCAAATAATCCCTTCTCTCTGACTGTCTGAAGCCATTCCCCCTGTCCTATCACTACATGCCCTTGTAAAAAGTCCCTCTCCCTATTTCTTGTAAGTTCCCTTAAGCCCTCCTTAGTCATGAAGCCTGATTATCAAGACATCTACGTTGCAGAGCATAGCCACATGAATAACAATGTTTAGTAATTACATAGCATTGGTACAATGTGCAGGCAAAGTTTAATCACTTAACAACCTCAAGTGTGACAACCCCCACTTCACCGCCCCAGCACTGTGAAGGAGGAAACAAAGGAATTATTTCTGCTGCTTTGTAAGAAAGGAAGGCTGAGAGGTGAAGTGTGATAGAAAGTCAGAACGACAGCTCAGAGAGGGTTTTCCAGCTATGGGCTGCTTTCCTGGGGCAGTGACAATAGAGAAAGCCACTGTGTTTTAGTGAAATGAAAGTCAGGCAGAGATCTGCTGAACTGGCATGGGCAGTTGCTCACTAAACCACTCAGCACTCTGAGGAGTATGCATAAAACAAAAAATGAAAGGTAAAAAGCTGTAATCAGGGGTCATAGTGAAATCTAACATGACTATGCAAGGGCATCTTCGGGTATTTGGTGTAAGGTGTTGTATGAACAGAAGGGTGTGAAACCTCTGCTTTGCATGAAGAGTCAGATGACTTCCAGTCAGCAAAATGAAAAAATGTCTTGGTTAAATTTCCTTCTGCTTTTGGACCAGATGATAATCCATCTGTGACTATGGAGTCTCACAGAAGACCACTTCAATTCTATGCAGCACAAGATTTTTGAATCCTATTCTGACATCTCTTTCAACTAGATTAGGACAAGTGTTCAGACAAAGAGCTTGTGTTAGTGTTGAGTGTTCAGTCCACACCAGCATGCACTCCCCAGATATCTGCTAAAGAACACAGAGAAAAAATTGCGTGCTCTTAGGTGTCTCAGCAAGTGCAGTGATTTTCAGGATATTTCCTGCATTGTTTGTAATGATGTTGGTTCTCAGGACAGGCAGTGCAGGGGAGCCATTTGAATCTGGGTCTTCCTCACAAACCTGACTATTCACAGTTCTTGAGCAACAAGACATACACTGGACAATAGTGATCTGGTTCATCAGTTTTAGGCAGAATGGGAAGCAAAACAGGGCTGGAGGAGACACAGGACCCTCATGTTCTAACCACCTGCTGTAGGCTATTGCCTAATTTCAAAATTATTTGGAGATATGATGCTGTTGTGATGCTATATTTCTGTATTAAAATACATTTCAGTGCAGCTGATTATTTATCACAGAACATTCACCACTTTGTGTGATAATTTGAATGTGGAGATTAGTAAAATGTTTGATTATAGCCTCTCCAGGCAGGAGAGTGTACCTAATTCAGACCTGCACTCAGAAGATACCATGACAGAGACAGATGTCATGGCTTTTTTCTTTGCTTTTTGTTTAATTTCTTGTCTCAGTCTATAATAAAATACTTGTAGCACTGCATTGTGGGCAAAGCACTACAATGGGACTAGAAGATCCTGTTTGTGTTCCTAGATTTGCCTTTTGCAGAGGCTGAATGATCATTAATCATCCCATTGCTCTGTGCTTCTTTTTTCTTACCTACAAAATTGGATGCTCGGCAAGTGGCCTTCTCTGAAGTGTGAGTAGATTTAGGGACCAAATTAGCCAAGTAACACACCAAAACTATAACAAGTATAAGTATCAACAAAATGTGAGTTGGCAAAATCCTTTTGTTCTGATACTTTATCCTCCTGCTATTCTTAGAAGAGTAATTGTAATGTGAGACCAAAGGGAGATCATCTGAGGGGCACAGCTTGCTGTGGATGAGATGTGTGTCTGACAAGTTTAACATGGCAGCCTAACCCAGTACAGTCATTCTGGGTGAATAGTTCTCTGTAGAAGGCGGTATTCCTGACTTAATAGTTCACCTCTTGGAATTACATCTGCTTGGCTGGAAAATTACAGATTTTAGTTGTGTTCAACTGCATTGTGACTTGTTCTTAATGTATTAGGAAGACTGAGCTGGTTGAGTAAAGAATCTTCCCCAAACGTCCTTCTTTCGGGTCTTCTTTTCTCTCTAGGTAATTCAGCCCAAAAGCTCTGTTCAAATTAGAATGTGTAATGGCAAAATCTGGGCTTCATGACTCAGTTGCTCTTCCAGATGTATGTCTTTGATTGCATAAAGAGTGCCCTAGGTAAAAGGAATAATTTTCACTCTCCCACTTCATATGTCCTTTCTAAAACTCTGCCAAAGAATTGCTCTGTTGACTCATGGCCAGTCAATGAACCTCAGCAGCTGTCCCCATCTTGTAAAATATGCTTGATCTTCCTGTGTGCATAAGGCTACATTTATCTGAGCCATACCAGATCCTTGTGCTTGCTTGGCATAGCAAACCAGATGTTTCAATCAATAGGTTTGTTCAGTGTGCTGGCATTTGTGAATTCACTTTGAATTCTGAGTCCACTTTGAATTTTGGTGAGACCTCCATTAAAAGGCATGAATGTGGTATTTGGGAACATGGTTTAGTGGTGGACTCAGTAGTGCTATGGTAGAGGTTGCACTCAATGACCTTCATTTTCCAAGCAAAATGATTCTATGATTGTAATTTTTGGCACAGAAACACAGAATAAAAATGGTTTGAGTTGGAAAGGACTTTTGAAGATCACCTAGTCTAACCTCTCCGCCATGGGTGGGCATGTTAACTTTGCCATTTGTTTACAGTGCTTTGAATAGCACTATTACCTTGCCTTCATGTGAACACTTCCAGCAATTAAGTTATTACTTAATCAGTTTTTACTTCTTAAACTAAAAGAAAGATGTGCATTGCATAATGTTACCACCTCAAGCAGATTAGAGCATGAATTGTCATGCAGTACCATGTTTGTTGTGAGATGTGTCCCATCTGTCTATGCTGCTGTTCCCAGGGAATTTTTGCATCCAGCTTTTGGACCTACCGTTGTTGGTGAAATTTGGTTCTTCTTCCTGAAAAATGATAATTTCCCTGGTGGTAGTAGTCTAGGTCTATTCCACAGATGGACGTCCTCTTTCAAGAAGCAAATGAAAAAGATTTGATGGCATTAGTGGTCATTAGCTGAGATGGAAGGAGATTCTGGGAAAAGGGAGAGTTTCTTCCAAGGAATATCCGAAGAGTCATGTGGGGCTGACATGGAGAGTTCTAATCTTACCTGTTTTGAACCACTTTAATTTTCATCTGTTTCTGATGAACTACAGACATCTTCCATTGCAGCCTGTGTGAACTGAGCCCACAAGTACTCTCTTCCTGATTATTTCTCTTTTCCTTTCCCTATGGGCCCCTTCTTTATTTCTTTCCCTTGTAGGCTCCTACCTATCCTCCATTAATGTACTGCAGTCTGATTATCTGATTTCTTCATAAGACTCCTCAGAGCAAGCTCTTTTCCCATTATATCCATCAAGCAGAGTTTAGTTCCTATAAAAAAACGCTTTCCCCAGCTATCCTCAATGGAGTTGTTTCAAGGTTCTGTATGCACTCAGAGACCTCCCTCTCTGTCTTCTTCAATGGGGCTTGTTTTCATCTGTGTCCTTCTCTTTTCTCATTCTACACGCATTAGTGCACGTGAAATGGCAGGTGGGGAATTTTAATCATTGCCAAGCAGAAATGAGTGTCTTAAGTACTAAATACTCTGCTGCCAAAGACAGTAGACAAGCATAGAGGAATTTAATATGATACATCATTGCATTCACGCTGGAACCTTGTTCGTCCTATTCTGAATCTGGAGGTGAAGAATGCAAAATAAGCAGAAGTGCAGTTTAGACCATGGAAAGGAGTGCGTTTCACAAAGGACAGCAGCAGAAGGAACGTTTAAATCTCTAAGTGTCTGTATAGAATGCCATGGCAAACATGGGTTACTTTAAAAGAATACCAGAAATGAGTTGACTGTTGCACTGACCCTTTAACCACAAGATAAGATTTCTTTTCAGATGGTGTGTAAGAATAGGTTTGAGCCACAATGCATATTCCTCGACCAGTACCGTAATTTCCCTCTTTTCCCCAACCACGTGTAAATGAAACTTCATAGTCTGCCACGTAAACGTTACCCATCGATGAACCACTGAAAATTTTTCCAGGACCATGATTTAACAAAGACGCTTTCGAGGGATTCCCTTGATTAGCCAAAACCCAAAGGGTTCTTATCTAACACTATCTTGTCTAAATATACACAGCCTGTGATGATGAAATAAAAAAAATTGAAGACCAGGTATAAATACCACTGACAGGATGATGAAGTTCAGTCGTCTACTTGCTTCTAATAGATTTAACTACTAGAAGTTGAAACTCTTTGCTCTTAGACCTGCTCTCCCAGAACTGATCTGAGCAGTTTAACACAACCATCATAAAGAAAATGGCTTTCCAAACCTACAGCTTGTTTGTTCTGTCTGTCATCATGATTTTTTTTGGACATGTTGAAAATAGATTGAATCTTCTTCAACTTCAAAATGATATAGACAAACTGAAAGCTGATTTTGTAAGTACAGTCTTCTACTGCATTTCTCTTCTCTTGCTGCTTGTGCTTTACATATAGTCCAAACTTAATCACTGCTTGACATACTCAATATGTACCAACAGAGGGTAATCATGGAAATAATTTTTTGATCATACCTTTTTTTAACAAGAATATGGATAATTATTTTTACTAAGTTCTTTCATTTACCTGATTCAGTTTTTCAGTAGTCACAGTTATTGTAGTAATTTGCATTTATTTTAAGGATGTTCTTTCTTTCACAATAGCTTCTTCTAGCTCAATTCAGCTCTGATTACATGGAACACTTTGTAACAAGAAATCTTAATGCAATTTATGGTGAATATATTAATCTTTATTCAGTTCTGACTAGATGCAATTTACTGACTTTTAAAATTTTATGTTAGCAATGTCAATGGGAGATTTAGTACTAATTAGCAATATAAAAAAATTGGAGATTAACTTTTACTTTAACAAATGCATTTGCTACTTATTTTAAGTTGTAGTAGTGTGTTACTCAAAGGTGATTTCTACTTCTTATTCTTTTGCATCTTCCAGTCATTTTACTTCACATGTGTGACTATGATCTGGCATGGGAATGTAATCTGGCAGGGTATTCTTTCTTGTCAAATAGAATTTTGGTAACTTGATAACTGTACTGTTAATTCACCAATCTTCATCTGGGAGGCACTAAAGTAGTACACAGCTGAATTCAGCAGGGATTGGTCACAGAGACAGCAGATCAACAATAAAATCACTTTTAATTAAAATCTTTTATTTGAAATATATTTTTATTGGGGTTTTTCCCCTCTAAATGCAATGAGACAACTGCAACAGTCTGCTCTTACTTTCAGCTCTGACTTTTCCATGATTTTGTCATAACTTTGTGCAAATGACAGTTGAAATTCAGTGGTCAGAGAACCACCCTGAAGTGGTAAAGACTAGTGTGATACTTCAGTGTTTGTGGGAAACTGGCTGTAGAAGTGGCATTATGTCTTAAATTTGTGATTAGCATACACCGGGAGAGTCTTACTAGAATATACATAACTCTGTGGAAGAGATACTGAGCTATGGTGAGCTTTTTGCACTGACATTAAAACTTTGCTCCATAGCAGGTGCTCCCCACCTTTCAGAAGCAGAAAATAAACCAGTTTGGTATTGTGCTCATCATGGGGAACCAATCAGCCCAGGAGGCTCCTGTCAGACTGCAAGTTTTCTCTTTGCACTCATTGTGTTTAAATTACTGATCAGACAAAAGAAGGAAATAGTCAGTGTTGTATACAAAAAGGAAAAAAAAGACACACAGAAGAGGAAATGATGCAGTTTGTCTTTCCTTGGTAGGAGAATTGTATTGCTCTTTTTTTCCTAGAACCCGTTGCCAACATCTGATGGTTAAACTCCATCCCTGTGAGCCTCTCAATAGCCCACTAATCTTGCATATCCCCATACCTGAGTGTGGGCTACTGGGATATTCTCCAGTTCTGCAAATTATAGTTTCATACTAAAACCAGCTCATTCTTGTTCCATATGACATTTTTGCTGAGACTGTATGAATTTAGGGTCACAGATTACAAAATGCTGGACTCTGACTTACCAGAAATCATACCAAGATCGGATTTTCTAGCCAGTTGCTGTGCTTATGAGCTTTATATTCATCTGTCAGTGGCAAAAATTACAGGGAGCATTTGGGAAAATAGATGTGCTAAACATCTCTATTCAGATGAGTTGTAGCAGAAGACACTGAAAAGAGGACTAATACTATTTCTGTTACCAGGCAGCCAGGCAACGGGACTTGGTGGTTAGAGAAGTGAAAGCATTGGGATAGCTATAGCCCAGATGAGCAAAAATCTGAATTTTGATGCTCATTTGAATAAAGAACACAAATTTGCCTTGTGATAAATATTGTTTATGTAATAGATACATTTGTTCTTCTTTGCAGAACTCAAGTCATTCCGATGTAGCTGATGGTGGACCTATTTTTACAGAAAGGCTGTCAAGTTGGACAGAGGTGAGTCAAAACCAGATATGATGAAGCATCTCGGGCGCTTTTTTGGTACAAAGCAGCTCCCAGAACCAGCGTAAGTAGCTGCAGTAGAATGAAGAGGAGCAGAGTTCTTTTGGTAGCTTTGAAATGAGACAAAAATCCCAATAAAAAAACTTTATACTGCACCGTGAACAGACCTAGAGGTATAGTCAAGCCCAGGAGATGAGTGGCAACATCTCCTTTATCATTTTGTTTCAAGCAGCAGAGAACCTCTGTATGCTGTGTTTTATCTTCCTTCCTTCCTTCCTTTCCCTGCTGATGGGCACTCACAGACCTTTCTTTTTTATTGTATTTTTCAACAGAGAAATGAAAAAAGGATTATCCTGAGTCAGATTGTTTCCATGTACTTGAAAATGTTTGAAAACACTGACAGGTCAAAGGCTCATGTCAGAAACATAGCTGAGGAGCTCAGTACTCTGAAAGAAAGCCTTTCTGATGGCTCAAAGAAGATAGAAGATCTCAGGGACCTGACAAATCTTCAGGTAAGGCTCTTCCTTTTCCTCCAAAGGTTGTGTCATTATATTTTCCAGTTGTGATTTGAATGTGATTTAAGCTAATAATGCTTCAGTAATCTAAATGATAATCCTTGTGCAAGTCAGTTCATGCTGAAAAACCAAATATTTCCAGCTGCAGGGTCTACAGTGAGGGGTAGTGCTGAGTCTTGCTTCAATCTGGCACAAAGGTGCTGACAGTGCTGTCATACAGTCTGTACACAGAGCTGCCACTGACACAGCCCTTTGTGGTATAGAAATTGGTTGGGAAAGTTGTGCCTGGCTATGGAATGCTCTGTGGCTGTTGGAGCACTTGGGCCATGGTGCTCGTGCCAGTGGCACAAACCACTGACTTCCTCAGTGGTCTGCAGACAATGCCCCAGTGCAGTCACTGCTTTGAACTGCAGGGCAGCTCTGCTTCACAGAGTGTGGCTGGTCTGTGGCAGGTTGCAAAGTAGTACAGAAAGTGGAAAACAAAAATTTGTGAAAACAGTGGCTCTTTACTATGGGAGTTAGGTAGTAGGGAATTGAAAATAGCAGATGTCCATTTGTTTTACTCTGGTAGCAGGGTAGCCCATGTGCTGTGGTCAGTAAACAATTATAGCCCTTGGCATGACTTTTGTTCCATTTGTTTCTTGCTTATTCCAGATGAGTGACTTGAAAGTTCAGCGCAAGGCTGTAAATGAGCTGTTCAGCGTCTTACAAAAACTGGGGGATACCTCAAGTTCTTACAAAAGAAAAAGAAGCCAGTTTCAGAGGCTGTGCAAATGCTAATGCCATCTTATGATCTTCTGTACTGAGCTACTGTGCAAATCTTGTTGGGACAAGATTTTTTTTATTTCAATCTTTCTATTGATTTTTTAAATACATTTATTTATTAATATTTAACTGTCTTAAGTAATTATTTATAAAGAAATACTAATCAAAGTATTTATACTCCCTAATATAATATAAGAAATTATTTTGTCTTAAAATCCTGTCTATTTGTTATATGCTGTTGACCTGAAAACAGAGAATGAGACAATGTTTACCCAGGTTCCATATGGAAATCTTGAAATTACGTTATAATGGTACCCAGCTTTCCATCTGGTGCTGTCTTGAGAGATTATGTTATGAGATTAGTCTTATCTATTTGGCATGGAGATACAAGCACCAATATGAGGAAGTTATTCTATTCAGGAAAAACATATTTATGCTGCTTACTACTAAACATATCTAAATCCAAATCAATCAAGTAGACATGTTTAAAGATAAGCAAATGTTTAAGAAAATTTCTGAACTAGAGGACTAATGATTAATTGCTGGTTACTATTATAATTATTATTGTTGTTATTATGCACTGAAGTTACCAGGACGGCAGTCTATTTAATATCTCAGGAGAATGTGACTAACTGTATTGCACTGACTTGACTTAACTTAAACTCTCAGATTTTAACAATTACTCTTGTGGGGTTTTTTTTGTTTTGTTTTGTTTTGTTTTTGTTTTTTGTACTGAACTGTTCAAATGTATCTGTAATTTAATTTATTTGGAGGTAATAGTTTGGAAGTTTTTATCTCAAGGACTATATCTTTGCACTGGAATATTATTAAAAACTTTGTATTTTTCAATAGAGATTTTTTGAAATTTGAATTTTAAATAAATAAATATATACATTTTGAAAGTGTGTTTTCATATTTATTCACCATCATCTATCTGAAAAGAAAAACTCTAATTTTGTTCTACATTTTCACAAAGATCGGTCCTGCCCAGACAAATAAAACATATTTTTAAAGAAACATGGTAGAAGAGTCTAAAATTCTCAAGTTTTTCTTGTGTCTGCTTGAGAAAATATAATTTTGCTTGTGGGAAGGCACTGATTATTTGAAATTTGTTGTTACTCTTATCTAAGATAAAAAACACTCTCCAATTTCTCTGCATGTCAAAGTTACGGAGCCCAGACGGACCTCAGGCCGTCTGTGGGGCTCTCTGCAAGTGCAATAAGCTGGAGGAATGGGGCAGTTTGGGCAGGTTTCGCAGGTTTCCAAATTCTCAGGTCTCTACCATGTTAATTTTCTGGGGGTAGGCTGGCTGAACTGACTGGGATTGGGGCAGATTTTTCTTTGCATTCCTGCCAGCAGAAGACTTCTAACTACTCCCTGAGCATTGACTGAATCCATAAAATCCAGAAATTGCACCACATCAAGCCTGAAGGTTAGTTGCAGTAAGTTCTATAATTTAGCTGTATGTGTTGCAGCTATTCCTACTCCCACAGGCTCAGCTGTCTCCTGCTGTTCAAGATACCTTCATTCCTATCCACATTTGACAGCCATAGCAAGTGACTGTGGTCCTGGAGACTCCAACTGATTTTAGAGAAAACAGCTTTCTTGTTTATATTCATCACAGACATGCATACGCATGGGAGATACAAGGGAAATTCCTCCTGCAGGATTTCTCCAGTTCAAGGACTAAGCATGAGAAGCCTCAGTAAGCATTTAAGATAGACAATATGTCCTTCTGTGCTCATGTTCTTTCATGAGATATTAAAGGAGACTAACTCTTCTTTGGGGATACACAGCCAGGTGCAGCAAGTCCCGTTGAAAAAAAACCAAAAGGAAAAAAAACCCCAACCAAACAAAAAAAATTTAAAAAAAGGAAAAAGAAGAAAAATATTAAAAAGAAATTAAAGAAAAGGAAGAGAAGGAAGAGAAGAGAAGAGAAGAGAAAGAGAAGAGAAGAGAAGAGAAGAGAAGAGAAGAGAAGAGAAGAGAAGAGAAGAGAAGAGAAGAGAAGAGAAGAGAAGAGAAGAGAAGAGAAGAGAAGAGAAGAGAAGAGAAGAGAAGAGAAGAGAAGAGAAGAGAAGAGAAGAGAAGAGAAGAGATGGAAAAATGAAAAGCCTAACAGAAGGGTTTAAGTTTCATTAGTCATTGGCAGGGAGACAGTGTGCTTCCCCACCACTTCTGAGCAAATTAATACTCTATATTTCTTGAATTTAAAACAAAGACTATTTAGAAACTATTAGATTATTAACTGAAAAATCTACAGTTCTTCTATACCCTGCTCTATGATTCCATGGTAACAAAATTAAGGCTATTGCATCCAGAAGAAATAACTTTTCTCAAATCCAACCTGCTTTAGCTGTGTGTACCCAACCCTGTGCTCTGCTGTCCCTGGAATTCCTGAAGTTATCACATTAAATTTGGCTCAAAACAGCAAGTGTTTTGTGGGGAGGTTTTGCTCAGTCACACAATTTCCTGGGTTCTTCTCATCCTAGTGTATGGTAGCAGAGAAGTAGTGGAGGAATGAGCAGTGCAGAGATGGAGTAGCAGATGTCACTGCTGACCAAATGTGTTTGTCAGTTCTCATTTCAGTAGTTTGATGACTTGGTCTTTTGTTTGTTTGTTTAACTGTTTAGTTGGATTTCTTTTTCTTATTTTTTTTTCCCTCCAAAATATCCTTATTTCCTGGAATATTCCAGGAAACTGGAATTTTTTAAAGCATCTTGAAACCTCTAATGTTAAACCTGACACTACACATTGTAGAGATTCAACGGCACTACCACAATTATCTATCCATTCAAAGAAATTTAAAAAATAAGTTTGTCATATTGACCTGACTTTTTCCTTCCCAGTGTAAGTCTGTGCAATTTCTACAGGGTGCTTAAGATAAACTGCTGAATATTCCTCACTTTGTTCTGTTACTGTGATAATAGTATTTGAGAATAACATAATCAAAATCAGCTTCTGCAAAGCCATTTTTTCCATCCCATCCCATCCCATCCCATCCCATCCCATCCCATCCCATCCCATCCCATCCCATCCCATCCCATCCCATCCCATCCCATCCCATCCCATCCCATCCCATCCCATCCCATCCCATCCCATCCCATCCCATCCCATCCCATCCCATCCCATCCCATCCCATCCCATCCCATCCCATCCCATCCCATCCCATCCCATCCCATCCCATCCCATCCCATCCATGCCTTTTTGTATGGTATATAATTGTATACTATAGAAATTAGGTGAATCACTTTAAACATGAAAACATGTCATCTCTTCTTTGACATTCACAGGAGTCCTGGATCTCCTTTTCTATGTCATTCCTCACAATATCCCGGTGAAGAGGGCACATCCAGCTAAGCTGAATGTAAGGGTGAAATTGATTTTAATGGCTACCATAGATATTTCTATAGAAATACATAGCGGAAGTTTTGAACAGTTTTGACTGAATGTTAGTGCAATTTCTTCCACCTACAGGATCTGAGAATGCTAATTCATGTGCATGATTGGGTGTGAAAAGATATAATCAACTACTTAGTAGTTAAAATTAGAAAGAGAAAAAGTCAAAAGTAAAGACAATTGTCTGAAGAATCTCACTTTGTTTTATTCATCACTTCCGTAGCACATTAATTCCGTCCTTGCTCTCTATTCCTGCATACTACTAGCCCTGATTTTAATCTGCCATTTTATCTCCTTGTCACTCTGTATTTTGTAGTCGTTCCATAGTTTTCTGGAGCTGTACCTCTTCTGTGTCCTGCGTAACTTAGTACATCAGCAAACTTAGTTATGAATATTAATAGCTTACTATGTCACCAAACTTAATTGTGAATATGAATTACGAAGTTAGCATGAATAACCATGTACATCAGTGAGCTTAATTCACAACTCCCCTTTCTCAAACTGCTGATGGCTACATTTTTAATCATGGTATTATTAAGGTTGGAAAAGATCTCTAGGACCATAGAGTCCAACTGTTAATGCAACACCATTGTGTACACCCCTAAACCATATCCCCAAGTGCCGTGTCCACATGCCTTTGGGACACTTAAAGAGCTGGTGATCCCAGCACTTCCTTGTGCAGCCTATTCCAATGCATGACCAATGGCACAGGCCCCAAGCAAGCCCTCTCATGACTGAAGCCACTTAACTGCAAAAAACATTCACTGATTCCTGCTCCTTTCTTCTTGCATTTTAACCATTTGCATTTTTATACCAGGAGTAGCTTATCATGAAATAGCTCAAATTCTTTGGTAGTTTTACAGTGAGACTCATCAGGGATTCTTTCGAAGCTCAAAGACATAGTTGTATTTTGTCTCTCCCTCATTTGTATTCCCCGACTCTTTACTAAACTCTACTATAAACAATAAGTGTGGTATAGCATGTCACAAATATCACAATATTTACTATTTCCTTTGGCACCACATTTATCCACAGGACCACTCTGTCTTGGTACTGTGCAGTAAGGATGTCAGTTTTAAAACCAGTTTTACTGGTTTGCAGTTTTCTGCAATTCCCTTGAGATTTTTTTGAAAATTAATATCCAATAAATCCACTTTGTGCATGCCTGATGTAGGGGCAGACTCAAGAGTCGGTTGGATCATGCAAACCACCCTTTCTCCATCTTCTACCCCCCAGTATCTTAAGAGCACATCATTCACATAATTACAAAATCTGTAGTTCAGCTGTTTTCTCCTTGAGTCCTGCAGGATTCCCAGGTGAAGGCTGTCAGCTCAAATCTGTCCTTGCCATTATCTTCCTCCACCAGTCTAGAAGTGACCATTGTAAGTGGGAAATAGAAATAATAAGAAACTCTAAAAAGGTCTGGAGGTGTAAAAACCCAAACTTACCAGACGGCTGTGGGATTTTCAGCCCAAAAATAGCTAATCATACAAAACCTCTCACCTCTTTGTTATTTTGCGTGGGACAGAGTGATAACAACTTCTGCAATGCACGGGATGTATGTAGGCTGTTGAAGTAGGTGAGGATGCCACCTACTTAAGGAGGCACAATGGCCTTGCAACAGCAAAAATGTCACTTCTGGGTGTCTTTATTTAGCTGTTGGTCCTCATGCAAGATAGCAAAAAAAGGCCATCTGTTTTCCAGCTTCCTCTTTCATTCTTTTATTTCCACAGTTCCCTCTCACAGTGAGCAGAGATTTCCTGGCAAGCAATAAAGAAGGTGTGTGCCAAAAATCTACCTGCAGAAAAAAGCAGAGTAGTTCCTTGATGCATAGCAAAACTAGCTGTGGCTGTATGGTGGTCACATTATCAAGAGGGAAACAAGAATTGAAGAGGGCTCCATTCCCTATTGCACGAAGTGGGGAGGAGCCTCCTGCACCACTCTGTGCTCACTGCTTTCACAGGCAAATGCCATTTGTGAGATTCCCCTCTATATCACTGGTCAAAGATGACCTTCACCTTATAAAACAGAAAGCAAACCAGTCAGGTAAATCTGGTCTCTAAATCAACCCTGGGTTGTGAGTTTAACAAATGACACTCAGTATTTCTTCACAGATTGGATTGATGTTATCAAAAAGATGAAATAAAATACATCTCTGTGCATAAACACTTCTGCAGAAAAGTATTCTTGAAAAATGTGTCATCGTATACAATGAGCCCAAAGCCAATGACACTGAAGGAAAGTAATTTCACAATTGATGATTTTATTCTATCCTGCTTATGTCACCAGAGGTAAGGAAATTACCCCCAGAGTCACCCTTCTGAGAGGTTCCTGAAGGACAAACATGTGTTGCTAACTGGCATCTGTCCTTCTGGGGTATGCACAACTGTCCTCATTACACTTTCATGTCTTTCTGCATTATCATCTGGTGTCCTCCATAGATTTCTCGTTGCATCCTTAAAAACTGAAGACACCAATTTAAGATAAGGACAAATTTAGACATCCTACTTTCACTGAATTTTTAGAAGGACTATTAAACAAGAACACTAAGCAAATAATGCTG